GAAGTTTTTTTTATACTTTTTTTTTTTCTAAGGTTTTGGTTGATTTTGTTTTTTCCCGTCATGACAAGCAGGACACTGGGTCTGATCAACAGTCAAGGTTTATTACAGGTCAACTGGAGAAGATCAATGTCAGTATGAACTGTTGTGGCATCATTGTGATATTTCACTGTGTACCACAGGTGTCGGTGGCAGGGGGGCCCTGCTGCTAGCAAGTCTAAAGATTCTTAACTAAAGGGCCACCTGCTGGCTTTTCCACGAGCTTTCAGTGACGACTAATCAGGGGTTTGCTCGCTACTTATCGAATGTAATTGATTTAGACACATTGAATGAGTGATAGATTACTGTGTGCACAGTACTGTCTTCCTGGAAATCCTCGTTTGGTTATTAAAAACCGGCCATTCCGGTAGGATGAATGTGTTTGTCATTGGAGTAAACCTCAAGAAAAATGTTTGCTCCCAGTTTTGAATATTCTGTGTTATGTGAGCCTGCAGCAGATCAGAGCAGTGTAGGTGTAGCTGGTGCAGTTGGGTTTGGAGTCAGGAGGGGGAGGGATGCTTTGTGTATGTATGACTGTGTGAGAGCATCCAGAGGATTAATGATGATGCATTTAAATGTTCAGTCTCTCTCTCGCTCTCTCTCGCTCTCTGTGTATGGATTTGTAGTTCAGTAGGTTCAGTGTGAGCCTGTTGGCTCTGTTTCCTTTGCTTTAAGTGTTTAAGTTTTACATTTTGGCTGTACAAGTTCCATTAATGTCTTGTGACTGATAACTGCAAAACGACAACCGTGTGGAGGGAATCTCTGTGTTTCCTGAGTAGGGGTGTAAGAAAATATTGATACGCTTGAGTATTGCGATATTACGTTTTGTGATACTGTATCGATTCTCACACACACTGTATAGATTTTTAATAGTTCACCTGCCACGTAGTCCCATGTTGGTGGATGTTACAGGGACTGTGGCAAATGCAAATGTGGATCCCTGTTCTGATTCTATAAATTTCCTTTTTTACAGTAGATTTCATGCATATGGTGGTGTTATTTTATGACTTATGACTTTCTTTAAAAAATGTCAGTATATGGCCTTGTTTATAGTATCTCTATATATTGAACTGAAACCCGTGTCGTATCGCCAGATTCTTGCCGATACACAGCCCTGCTCCTGAGGCTGGAGCTGGCGTTGATGGTGAGAAGCAAAGATGAAAGGTAGGCAAGTAAAGCAAACAGAGAAATCCACAGGCCAACAGCAGCCGGGTGGAGCAGGTGGGTGAAACATGTGGTCACATAAAGCAGGCAGTCAGGCAAATAAAACAAACAGACGGGGTTGTATCCAGGTGGATTCACCAGCATGGATGAGGAAAGAGGAGAGGCAGGGTGTCTATAGCAGGCAGTGAAAATGCAGCTCATCAGGAGGTCTGGTTGAAAGTCACCAGTGTTTCTGGCACTGTGCTTTTCCCTTGTGGTGTACAGTTGTAAATTCTACTGCTAACACTTGTCTTAATTGACCCGAATAGGCTGCTAAGCCCATAAAATGCCAGATCCAGGACTGGATAACGGTGCCAATTTTAATGTATTCAGTTTTTTCCGTTCAGCATTTTCCTCTTGGTTAAGATTTTATTCCAACAATTTGGCATTCATAAGCAAACATTGTTAGCCTTGTTAGCAGCAGGCCTCCATGGATGGTGGTGTTAACGGTCAGTCCAGACCTTTTGGTGAATTACCGTAACAGTTTGTACTGATATTCATGGTTCCCGGACGGTGACCTGGGTGATCCCGGAGTTTGAGCAAGCTGTCTGTTGGATTCCACGAGGGCCATACATTATTACTGTGGTGGGTATGTTGCTGTCGTGCACTGGAGCTGTATTCCCACGGTGGACTTAGTAGCAGCCTGATGAGCTTGTTGTACTTAAGTGTTTCAGGGCAGGGTTACAGTCACATTCGATCTCAGCAAATCCTTTCTCATCACAGGGATGGCAAAATGAATATTGCGTTGGCTCTGGTGTTAATTCTGCTTTAGCAGAGACTCTGCTTTGTCTTGATGCAGGATGAAGGGAAGGCTTACCTTCATTTTTAAGAAATGGATTAGGTCGCTGTGTCATGTTGACAGTCGCGCTCATGGTTTGTTTTGTTAGGCATGATTTGTGTTTTATCAGGTGAAAAGTTTGTTAAACAAGTTGAAAATGTTTTCAGCTGTTTATGAAACAAATCAGACCTTTTTTGCAAATACTTTGCTTGTGTACAGTGAAATAAATGATCATTCGTAAGAGGATTCATTTCTTATTGAGGCTCAACAGGGTTTAAAGAACAATGAATAAACTACGGTGGGAGACATCACCAGTTTCCATATTACTGATGAGGCCACAGGGGATCTGATGTGAGCTGATCAGGATTTTTTTTTTAAAGATTGGCGTTTAGTTTACACATCTGCAAAAATGATGAATGTGGCCCCATAATTTGTGGCATCATTGTACAAATGTTGTGCTTATGTTTCCGTGTATAAAGTTTTCTTGGCTCATTTAGAAGATTCTGCATATGTGACAAAACATGATTCACAGAAAGCCACGTGGGTGATGACAGACCCAGATGCATGTAGATGAGTTGCATGTTCTTTTAGCATGTGTCGCATCAGAGGCCGACATGGCTGAGCGCTGTTGGCCGGCCGCTTTCACATTTCAGATGCAGTGAAATGAAAAGGCACCTTGGGGTGCACGGTGGGTTGCAGCGACGATAAAGATGTTAAAATCCAGAGGAAACTTGTGCATTTGCGGTTAGTTTCTCTACAGTTTGTAGCCTGTGGTCGTGCTGGTGGCTCCGCTGATGACCTCTTCATCATGTTATTAGTTTATCATGCTCTGCTTTCTGTGCTTCCCCTTATCTCTTTCCTTCTTCCTGCTGCTTGTCAGCCCATTCTTCAGGCTTGTAGCAGCTGCTGCAGCAGCGATTATAGCTTTAAAGTGTGGAACGCCACATTATTTCTGTGGTTTTGCACAGTTTTATTTGTGGAAGTGAACAGATACCATCCACAGGTAGAAACTAGCCCTCATCAGAAAACATAAACGGAGGAAAAAACTCTAAGGGTGACTCTGAAACAGATGTTCAGTCTCATCAGTGTTTGAACAAAGTCGCTTTTGTTGTTTTCAGTCATCCAATTAATTTTGAGGGCATCACTGCAGCTTTGTCCCAAGTTTAACAGTACACGATGATGATTAAAAGAACAGATCCTATTTGTGCTTGGACGGTGTTTATCCTTAAAGCTCGGCCAGGTTTCTGGCAGTGTGACTGTTTGGCTTTGGTCCATTCACCACCAACAGGAGGTTTGTGGAAGTGCTCGACTGAGACGGAGCCTGATATTTTACAGGCTACGCTAAAAGGTAGTGGACCACTGGAGGAAGTTTCCAAGCCTGGAAAAGATGCATGTAGTTTAATATTCACAGAAAATGTCTTGTGTCTTTGAAAAGCAGCTTTATATAAGAATTTAAGTGCTAACCTGAGATAAAACAGAACCAAAGGCACTGATTTTTAAACAATGTCCAGTTGTGTTTGCAGTAACACAACTGCCAGACCAACACCTTCACTCTTGTATGTGAACACACAGCACAGAGAAACTAAATTCTCAACGTCTAGGTCAGGGTCAGAAGCGGCGGAGCTTTCAGCCATGACCTTTGACCCCTCCTGGCACAGAGCAGCCCTGTGTTCCCATTGGTCCCACACAAGAAGAGCTCTGTTGGAGAAGTCACAGCTTTCATCTTCTTCTCCTTTCTGTGTGTAGTCTTTGTGAAGCATCCTGCTGCTGAA